TATATATATATATATATATATATATATATATATATATATATATATTAAGCAAGATATTGGTATTTGAAATAAAATTATGGGAAAATCCAGACCAGGAAATAAGATAGAGAACAGTGTTCTGGAGACTCTGGCCCAGTGTGACTGCTGCTCTAAGTTGCTTTCCCATGCTTGATTCTGAACGTAGAATTGTCACACACACCTAAAGAACACAATGGTCTCTGTCCATTTGTCACCTGTTCCCCAACCCGCCCAGCCGGATCCCCAGTCTCTTCAGATAGACTCTGGCTGACTCTTTGCCAAAAGTTTTCTGTCCCTGTGGAACTTATCTTAGGATCTGAGGAATTTTCTTGATGCATTGTTATCTCTTTGGGTCCATTTAGCTTCTTTCTGTGCTGGGTGTTTGAAAGAATTTCTTGAAAATCTGTAAATTCTAAATTAAATGCGCATGTAGCAGAAAGAAAATTCTATGGTGATAAAAGTCTGATGCTTAGATACTGTATGACACTGAATTTCTCATGCTTAGCAAAGTCCTGGGATATAATTGATGCTCACTGATCACTTTCTAACAATAAACACCCTCTCAATAAGAAGTAGGAACTATCAGACATATTTTTTTAAATGCAGTTCACATTCCCAGTTTTATCCAGGCTTAGGTGAAGAGATCTTTTCTATGCATCCCATTTAACTGCGCACCAATCATTTGGTAGATGATCAAAATCAGACTAGGACTCAAATTCTGCAGATATATACCACTTGATATCATGTGGTATAAGATAAGTTACCTATATATTTTATATATGGTATTTAAAGAGAATAAATAGTGACCCAAAATATTGCATTTGCATTTAGTTATTTAGCCGGACCATTAAAAAGTATTTTAAAACAAAAGGATTTGGGTTGATTTTCTGTGACAGACAATGACTCCTGCCTCTCTATGACAGTTGTCGCTGCTCTCTCAAGGGAATCAGTTTTATCAAATCTACCTTCTGCTTCATAATTTTAAAAAGGTCATAGAAACAGGTGTGATTCATTATGCTCCTTTCAAAGTATAGTTATACCTCTTTTAATAAGATGCCTTATGAAGTGGAGCTGATTATTCAGGCACAGTAAAGGGTCCTCTCTCTTTGCTTTCTTTTAGATTCTGGTTGTGTGTAGAGAAATCAAATACTGTTGAAACAAATATGCTACAGTAGATTCCCTGTCTCTATTTACACTAGACTCCATTTTTGTGAGGTACTTTAAATTGTTTTGCATATGCCCTTCCAACCCACACCATTTACACTGGGTAACTGGAGTATTATTACGTAGCCCTAGAGTATTATTAAATTACTCCATGTGCAAAAGTTCTGAGGAAGCTGTTTCTCTATGTATTTATCCTTAAATGTGTACATTCCAGGTACATGAGTCATTGGAATATCACCTGTACCTTTCTGTGATTATTTTCTAACAGAAATTTATTACTGATATTATTAGATAACTATCAACGTAGTGAATGATACTTCTCTTTTTAACAATCAATGTAGTGAGTGATACTTCTTTTTAAAATATTTATTTTTCATTATATTATGATCACTGAGGATGAACATTGTAATTCCAAAGTGAGTTAGCCATTTGTGTGATATTATGAGAGATGACTAAACACACATTCTAGCTGGATATGAGAGTATGTGCTTATAACCCCAAAATTGGGGTGATTGAGACAGAATGGATTAATAGTATGAAAACAGTATCAGTGACATTCTGAGTACAGAGCCATCCTGTGCTATGTATTGAGGCATCATCTAAAAAAATAAGGAAGGAAAAGAAAAAGAAATACATGTATTTCAAACTTTTTAAGTGCACACTGTATAGTTTAGTAACAAGTAAAAAATGGGAAAGTGTAGGAATAAGATAAAATATAAGAATTAGATATTCAATCATCAACAGACAGAAATGATATAAAGAGTCCTACAAGAATTCTAGCTCACACAAAGTTTTCAGAGAGGACAAGGGAGTTGTGTGAACAGTAGTAGATGCCTCACCCAGTCATATCTATGATCCAAACCAATGCAAAACAATGGTTGATAACTTCGTGGAAGTAAAACTCCAGTAAGCAAGCTGAAACCACATTCATTAGGGGACACAGTGTGGTGGCACATACACAGTAAACACATTTGTTCACAGAATAAACCATTCATGGTGATTTGCAAAACTCATAAAACAAAGAATCAACTTTTTTATTTTGATGTTGCATTGAAGAGGTGAGGAAACATTCCATTTGCTTTTTATTCTTTTTTTTTTTTTGAAGATAAAGAAGAACTGCAGAAAAACATCATTAAATTCTTATAAACAGTCAAATTCCACAGGGTCAAACTCCAGATTCCTAGAGATCCAAGCAGCATTCCTGTCGATATCACTATTGAGGCCAATGTGTGAAGTGTCAATTCCATTGACTCTGAACTTGTGTGATGAGTTCTGCATGAGCAATGAAATTCTACTTAAATTCTAGTGCATTTTATAGATTCTGTATGATGTATAAATGCCTAGCTTATATCTGTGGTGACTGTGTTATCCTCAATTTTCTGGTCCATGTAACAACCATATCCTTGAACTTGACCTGCCACATTTTGATCAATCTCTCTTTGCCTATTAATCCAGGCTAAATAATATCATTGATATATGCTCATGCAGGCATTTGCACACATGTACACATACACACACATACACACACACACACACAGTGATTTATTCTGCTAATAAGTATCATAAGTGGAAGATGCTGGAAAAGTATGATTTATACTTGACAATTCTGTGTCATGAAATTAAGAAATAAGGCAAATTTTGGACTGTAAAAATAAAAAACTGTTAAGGTTGAATGTTTTGATAAAAACACAATGCATAGTTACTTAAAGATGATGCATTTTATTATGAGAACTACAGATTTGCTGTGTGTGAAGTGTGTGTTTCATTTTGTTTGTTTGTTTTCTTTTGTTTTGCTTTGCTTTTTGGTAGACTGAGGGTGAGTGGGAACTTCAGCACTTAGATAAGCAAGAATAGTCTAGAAGGATTTGCCCACTGTTTTATGGGTAGGTTACCCTTCATCCCTTTATAATATCAAATAAGAGAATAGAGCTAGAGTGCTACCTACAGTCCTATTCTTTTCTTTAGGATAAAAAAAAATATGACTCTTGTCAGGTAAGCTTCTTGGCAAATAGTAAGTTTAATTCCTAACACCCACATGAGGTACAAGAATAGTTGGATTAACAACTCCAGTGTCATGCTGTCAGCTGCTGTTTATTTAAATTAAAATGTCACCATCCAGAAATAAATTAGGAAGTTGAAAAATGATAAATTTCTTAAACATACAGTACTTCATCACCTGGTTAAAATAAATCTATTACATTTGTGGCTTAGTAATACTTTACATAGGCTAGTTCCATTTTGACATTCAGAGTATAGTGATTTCTGTAGATTTTGTTCTTTAATTATACCCTCTACCCACCCTCCTCCCCTCCCTCCCTCTCATCTTTCTTCCCTCCCTCATTCCCTCCTTTCTTTTTTGCTTTTCTGCCTTTTCATCTTTTGTATCTTTCTGTTTATGTTGCCTTACACTTTTATTTGCTGCCCTTCATCTTCCTGTCTTCATTATCTCTCTCTGTCTATGCAAAATGTGTCTCATCATTACAACTGTATATGTCTTATGAGCATTTCTAAAAATTGTTATCTATCTTATGTTTACCTAAAATTACACATATGTGTACAGTTTTAAAAAACATTACCTAAAATTTCCTTGGTTTTCTGGGGTTAACATTTAAGAGTTACTCTTTTAAATATAAAACAAAAATGCATGCCTCTCATGAGCTATTTACTAGATTCTTGTCATTTGGAGATTGATTCAAGCTCTTGCACAGTAAAGTAATCTCCAGACATGACCCATATCTGATGAATTTTAAGACAATGATTTGGCTTTGGGTTCATAGGAGAGCAGATCATTCCACTTTTATGAGCCAATTTGGTCATAAGCAGGAAGAGAATTAATATCTGAGAAAGACAAATATCCCCTTCTGTTCCCATTTGGATGAGTTTCATGCCTGTGACTTTGTAGATCAAACCAATGCAAATGCACTCGATGTTGCAGGTTAATTAAATACGAGACAGTTGTATACAAACATATTCAGCATTAACAACATGGAGATATTTACTTGGCCGGGTTTTCCATTTTCACATAAAAATGCCTCATATTCGGCTGCGAATTCAGGGGCGTTGTCATTGACATCCAGCACTTTAATAGCAACGGGCACTCGGGATATCTGGCTGTGGTTTCCTATGGGAAGGAAAAAACAGCATCAGCATTCAGGGTGTTTCCTTTGAACTTGTAACTCAACTTCCCTCTCTCTATTTCCACCTCCCTTCACTAGGTTGTTTTTCCATGTAATGATTATAGAGTCTGACGTAAAAGTGTTGAGAAAGAACAGCAAGTGCTTCACTACTTTAAAAATAAAAAGGAGGCCACAAATTAATATTCTAAACACCATTTTCTAGAGCTTACCCCACAAAGGACCATATGTAAATAAGCTAAGAGAGATTGTGTTTATGAAGTTTATTGATAAAAGCCACTATATAAAGGAAAATCAATGTATCTAACAAAGATTTATCTGTTCACTAAGGGGAGAAAAGTGTCCATTCTGAGCTCTTACTCATTTTCTAAGCATGCATCTGTTAAGATTAAGCGTAAGAAGCCAGTAAAAGTGCAGAATTAAATCACGTGTTGAAAAGTTCTCAACAACCATGAAAAAGATAAAATGTGAGATAAACAATCATATATTTTTTTAAACTTTGTGTTTCATTAAAAATCAATCTTAGCATATTTTTGGATAAGGCCAGAAGACTGGGTTATTATAGTAGTGACATTTTCAGGAAAACATTCATATAATTAAGATTATAGTCTTCTAATATTTCTTGGTCAGTTCCTATAGTAAAGAACCTAATATATAACCTATAATTCTTAGGTTTTTAAACTAAATATAAAGTAATTATGTATATATGTATCTGAACAAACACACACAAACATACACATACACACACAAAATCTAGTTGCTTCTTAAGTGTATTACTGGGTTAGGTAATGACTTTTTGTATGAGTAATAAATGCAATGCAATTTGACTCTGACAGTACCATGTTATAATCTTTGATCTGTTGTAAATTATACAGAATGTAATGGAGAGAGCGAATTGTTTATTTGTATCACTGTGATACTGAATATTTATAAGCAAACAATGAGAAAAACATGTTTGGCTTTCAATATGAACAAATAGGATTACATTTAATATCAAACTTCTCTTTTTGACAATTGATTAAGAAAAAAATCTCTAAAACCTTTAAATATTCATTATTATTTTTATTTATAAACGTGACTTCTAAAGCACGTTTTATTTGGATTCAACTAATTGTGGAAGCATTACCTAACATTCAAAATTGATTTGATGATGGGTATCTGACATTGACCCCATGGAATTACTCTCATGAAAGTAATGGGATGCGACTTCCTGCAAATCAAGAAAATGACATCAAATATCTTCCAAGTTTTACCCTTTTCACTTTGCTGTTTATTATCTAATGAATTAATCCTTTCTCCTCCTATAGAGGAAGCTTGTGGCTCTCTAGTTTTAATGGAATGCAAATTCTAAAAACAGTATAACACATGTCTCTAAGACAAGAAACTGACATTTCAAATTTTGTCTAGTCAACAAAACTCTGCAAAGGTTACACTTGAAATTCAAAATGATTGTGTTCTTAAAGGCTTACATCGCTTTCCACCCTGACCATGAGTTGGTGCAATGTAAAAAGAATGGTGTTTGCAGCAAACAAAGCTTCAAGCCGTAACTTTGCCTCCTTCACAGCTGTTTTGAGTCATTTTTCTCCCCAGGGAAATTGAAACTCCAGAGTTTAACATTTTATTGATGAAATTATTGTAAATTTTATAGTGGAAGAAATAAAGGTTATCACATAAGTACCTGCCATGTATTTAGGTACATTCTAGCCTGTGCATTTTGTAATTTTCAGTACTATCATTATTGTATATATTTGGTTGTTTAGAGAAAATAGTTTACATGGTAATAATATTAAAATTTATTCAGTTTTGGTCTTTCAATATGAACCAATTTTATTTCAAAATTTGGGGGCCATATATTATTTTCAGGGACCTACTCACTACCAAGTCCTCAAATGTTTACACACTTGTTTTGTTTATCTTGAATTTGAGCAATGTTTGGAGATTGAATCCACATATCACACTGAATCTATCTAATGAATTCCATAACCACTATTTTCAAAATTGTACTTGCAATCTCCAACTCTCCCTGAGTAGTTGTACAATTTAACCTCACTATCTTTTTTTTTAATTTCGTGTATTTTAACAGCAAATTACTGTTAGTTGTTCATTTATTTTTATATTACTAAATCATTTTATTTCCTAACACAATTCTTTTGGATATAAATAATCACGGGGAATGTCTATTTAATATTTTTGTATTCAATCTAGTGATAACATTACTAAGTGATCTTCAAAGAGTAAATAAATTGCTTGTATCAAATAGTCATTAGCAAGTCTGTTACGGTAGAGCATAGAAAGTATCAGGAAAATCTGCTCTTTAAACAGTGTCTAGATCATTTGCAATGAGCAGCATGATAAGATATTGAGTTAGGCTCACTGAAAATGTTTGATAAGTCCAAATCTATCACTATGGTAGTTGGTAGTTGCTGTTTGCCCTTTGATGTTGCATGCACACATTTTATATGCAAATACATATATAGAGACTTCTTAGTACTTAAAAATGGTAATTTAATGCATGGTCTACATTTTCAATTTCTCTCTCTCTCTCTCTCTCTCTCTCTCTCTCTCTCTCTCTCTCTCTGTGTGTGTGTGTGTGTGTGTGTGTGTGTGTGTGTGTGATAGGAACAAAGATCTTGTACAAATGGGCTAGGATCTCTACTACTAAGCTGCATCAGGATTTTTCTCTTTATTTAGTATTTTTCCTTAATGAAGTAAAGGAAAAGATAAACTGTTTTTACTGCATTAAAAAGTGACATTAATGCAGTAGACACAGATGGTAGCCTCAACTATCATGTAGAAAACAATAGCATTTCAGTGTAACTAAATACAGTTTCAACTACTGATGCCATTATCCTTTTTTCTTTAATGAATCATTTTTCCTTCTAAGAATGAGTTAAAGCCACCCCTCTCCTAAAGAGATAGAGGTGTTATTCCATTGAAGCAATGCCAATGGCTTGAAGCAAGGAGACATTCTTTCATATGGCAGGGATATGGAGCTTAAGGTAAGGATCTGAATTTTGTAACAGATTTGCTTTTGTCTTTTTGTTTCCTTATTTACTACATACTCTTCTTAAGATAATTTTGCAGAGTTCATACAGTCTGAATAGCTTTTGATCCATGCCTTCACCTGTATTTTTATAAAATATCCTCTTTCTCTTATGTCATAATTTCTCTCTAAGCCCATAGGAAACATTACCTTCTGTAGAAAATGTTTTGAAGTCTACAGTAACCATTATTGTCACCATATCATCTTGTGTCTTCCTATTGAACTCACAAGATGTGATCGACTATGTCAACTCCTAAATTTCTCTAATAGTACTGGAGTATGAACACTTATGATTAGATTTAAGGCATAGGGAAGTAAATTGGAATGATCTCATCCTATATTCTAAAGTCATAACAACTGGAAAGAACTTTATTACTGATGTAATAGTGGCAGGATCTTAGGCTGGGGCCTAACTTTTTCTTTTAATTCGCCATTTGATCCAATAATTTTTCTCTTCCTGAAAGCTAGAATATTTGGAATGACTTAGAGTGATTGATATATATATATATATACATATATATATATAAATAAATATATATATATATATATATATATAT